GACTCCGCTACCCACCTCCCCCCAGGTCGAGTATGACCCATCCACCACCACCCTCTGAGTGCGACCCTTCAGCCAATCTGCAATCCATCTGACTGTGTAGGCATCTATGCCACAGTCGCCTAGTTTTTTAACTAGGATGGGGTGAGAGACGGTGTCAAAGGCCTTGCTGAAGTCCAGAAAGACTACATCCACCACGACACCTGCATCCATGGCCTTTGTGACCTGATCGTAAAAGGCAATCAGGTTGGTCTGACATGATCTCCCCCTAATAAATCCATGCTGATTGCCCCTGAGCATCATTTCTGATGCTGGCCCTTAATATTTGTGTGAATACTCTTATTAAGAAGTAACCTATTTATGAAGCACAGTGTATACTTATTAGTCAAAGTACAGATGCGTCAGTGATTCAGAATTTAAAGGTGAATGTTCCATAATGCCCAAATCTTTTACTGAATTACTGGGAGGCTACCAAATCCTAAAAGTACAATGAACTCTGCCCTCCCTTTAGATATTCAGATTCCATCACAGAACACCTAACAAGGACTAGAGGTATGATAACGGGAAGGAAACCCACATTCTATTTTCACTTTTGATAAGACTATACTTTCAGCATTCCACAAACAATTTCTATTTGGGAATTACAAATGTATGTTAAATCATACTTGTTTTCCTTTTGCATGATCAGGAGATTTTAAGTGCTGTTGAACGGAACTGTGTAGTGCAGGAACATACACACTACAAGCACTACAATGAACTGTCTCTACTTTCATCATGTGGTCATCAGCAGTAACACCTAGTAAAGAAAAAAAGACAGGAATAAGATTCATAATCTATGTCAAATAAGACTATCAAAACAGACATTTAAGGAGAAATTTAGCTAATTAAATTAGCTAAACTAAAGAACTGGTGCTTACTGAGAAGGCAAGGATAATCCTGAATAAATCAAACTTATTTTTTAAATTTAGCATGTCCTTAAAATATTAAAGAAAACCCAACAGTTTAATATTGCTGGCCCTAGTTATTTTTAAATGAAGGGGGAAAAATAAAAATAAAGATAAAAAAGGATTTTCTATAGGACTGATCAATGAAGTAATGGTATGAATTGGCACTTTGCTCCACAAAACACTAGTTCCAGACACACAGAAAAACTGCATAACTTCAATTCAACTTACAGATTTATAACTCTCAGTCAATATTTTTCATTTACAAGTTAATGAAAATGCATTTTTGTATATACTGAGAAAACAAAGACATTTAGTGGATGACTTTTATTTAAGTCTCCTGTGATAATTTATTTAAGCTGCTTGAAATATGTTCTGTAACATTTTAAATTTACCCACTTCAAGTGCTAAGCCAATGATCTTACAGTTCTGACTTAAAACATGACAGAGCAAAAAGAGGAAGGGTGAGAACTGTACCCTGCTCTGGGTCTTAACACTTAATTTAAGGGTCAGTGTAGCCAAGGGAGCATCCTTCCAGTGTAGGCACTGCAAGGGCAGCCATAAATGGATGCCATCTCTTTGCAAGCCCTAGAATAGGGAGACAAACTGGTAGGGTAGGTGGAAGGTAGTTTCAAGGATATTGCAGGCAATAGCAGAGATCTGAAGCAGCACTTTGGTCCATAGGGTAGCTAAGGGACCAGTTTGTGTAGGCTTCCAAAGCAAAGTTATTTTAGAGGTCTCTCTAGTTCCTGTTACAATATAAGTCTGAGAACGAATATGGTTTGTCACGTTCTTCACCATAAACTTAGCAATTAGGCTGCTTGTGTGCTGAAATCACTGTACCATGCAGCTAAAACATGGCATCATTAAATTTCTTTGTGTTCCTCAGTTTGTCTGTACTCATGTTATAATAAGTATAACAATGTATCTGTTGTCAGTAAAAGTAAGCTGTAATTCAACAGAAAATAATATTTACAGCCCACATTTTTGGAAACACCTCCTGTATGCTCTTGCTAAGCCATGGCCACACCTATCAAAGCAAATGCAGGCACCTCAAGAGGGTCCTAAGCATGCACTGCTTAAGATAGGAAAACAGCTTGGGAGAAACGCTGGGATAATCACAACTCCTTTATGCTGCCTAATGGCCAAGCACAGGTAATCTAACTGAAAATCATATTTTTAGCTCATTTTTTGGAAGGTTTGAGGATATTAACACTACAGAATCACTGGAATCCAGGACTGCAGAACCAATAATAGACTGGCTTTTGGAGAAGACAGATTTGAGAGACTCAATAAAATCTATTGAAACGTTTATGCTGAAACAGACTCCAATACAACCTCTTTATCAGGGACTTCAAATAGGAGTGAATTGCGTGCATCCCCAGAGCATGCATTCTCAATCAAAGAGCAATACTTGCCTTCCATTATATCTTTTTCAACAGCTTGGACATTTTCAGATTGACTGCTGGTCTGTTGCTTGCGCATAGCTGTCTTCTTGAATTTATTCACCATGCACTCCTGAAAGCAAGATATGAATCTAGGTTAACATCTAAGTAGAACTCCTTCACCCTGTGTCAGACAATTGAAACTCTGTTACCCAGGTATTCTTACTGTTGATTAGGTGTGCATGCATTTGTTATTAAGTATTTGGGGAAAAAAGTAGTTTTATTGGAAAAAGAGACATTAATAGCGATTAACTCCAATAATTGCTTATTTAGTTGCAAAGCTATCTAGATTAAATGTTACTTTCAAGTATTTTAAACTTACTTTTCTGTTTGATTACATTTATGTGGAAACCCTTTCAAAATGCATTAATTTAATGAAAAAATAAACATGTTCTGAAGACAATAAATAGTACAGCTTATTTTTAAACTCCAACATAAGACTTACATGCAGAAACTCCATCACGACTTTGTCAAATTTGGTTTGTTTCTGGATATGGTCCAATGTTTCCTGATGGGCAGCACTTTCCAGGTGAGATTCAATTTCTTTTTCTTCAAATGTTCGAAATTTACAAAATGAACAAGTGAATGCCATTCTAGGAAAAAATATCCAATATCATATTACTATTTAAGAAGGCTTCTTAAAAAGTCAGTTAGTGTTTTTCAAAGGTCACTAAGGTGGTCTGAGGGCTTGAAAAAAAGCAATCACCAATAGCAGATTACACTTATCTTCCCCTACTAAATGTGGGATACTTTGCCATCTTTTTCTGGAATTATTTATGAAATCTAACATAAAAAACCCTACATTTATGAAATTAACTGCAGGAAGCAAACAGATGTAACTAAGGCTAGAGGTTTGATTTTTCAAGCATATAGACCACATTCCTACTCAAAATTCTGCCAGTGAAACATACTGGTTAATTTAAATACTGCTATTGCTATTTAGCAGTACTGTCATGAAATGTCATATTGCCAAGGAAAGCTACAGCCAGTAAGAGACAAATACTAGTAGTAAAAAAATATGAAAATAGATAACCCTACATCAGGGGGCATTCAATCTCTTGGCCCCGAGTCAGATGCATCCTCACCCTCTGGGATCAAGATGCCATGCCACCCCTGACCACTGGCCACACACTACCCAGCCTATAGGACTCCCCATAGGTCTGAAAATTTGACAGCAGGAGACCAGTGCTTTTCACACACCCATAAGAAGCATGAAATAAAATCAAGTCCTAAGCTGAAAAAACTCAGCAACAATAGTATAGGAATGCAGTTCAGCATGTAAATCCAACTAACTCAATTACAAAAATGTGGTGTGGTACTGGAACAATACTGAACTGTAGTTGAGTAGTACTGGAATACTGGTACCATTCTTGACTAATTTTCTGATGGTCTCACAGAAGTATGGGTGCATGCTCATATACTTTCACAAATGTTAGTGAAATTTCCTGATATGGGATAAAGCAAGCAGTCATGAAATCTTAAAAAACTTACGAGCAAAAACTGTTTAAAAAACCCCCCACTATTGTAGTCTGTATCCTTTGATGCTCTCCTTGAAGAATACTAGGGACAGCAAAACACTACAAATGAAAGAGCAGTACATATTACATAATAAAAACAATATTAACAGTACAAACCTGTATCCATCCCCATATTTTTCACTGTTTTTCTCCCTTCTTCGCCTTTGTTTCTCTCTTCTTGCCTCAATTCGTCGCTTTTCTTCCTCTTCGCTCCTGACATCTGGCTTGGAATCTTCACACACAGTAAAAGGAGTTGGAGTATTTTACATTTCCAAAATCCACCCAGGAGAAATTGCAATGCTCATTTTCCCCTACCTCTCGTTAACAAGTTTCACAGTGCTGAATAAATTCAAGCAATATATGCCAATGGTGTATAAGGTTGGTTTGTTTTTTTGCATAACAAAAATCAATGCAAGTATTTTAGCAATATATATTATATATATTTCAGTGTAAATTTAGGGGTCTGGACTGAGGAAATTCAGAATACAGCAAACACAGCCTCACTAGGTGTGTTTAAATGTGTTGCTATAGGAGTACTAAATTATGGCACACTAACAGCCTGTACTGCACACTCCACACAATTTTCAGCGATTCCAGCATTCCTTGTTATCAGACAGATCATATATATAATACCAAGACACCTAATGGAAAATGGATTTAGAACCTAGTTTGAGCCTCAATATTTCCTGTTTCAGTAATGTTTACACAAATTATACCCACTGTGTTCTTAACAGCAGGTCTCAGTTCATGACTTTAAAAGTCAACTCACCTAAGATTCAATGAAATGTTAAATACAAATAAGGATGATCAACTGGAAGAACAAATAATACTTAAGTGATGGAAGGGCATTAAAAAAAAATCTGCAAGACTAAGGCTAAAATACCAAAAGAGAGAGAGAAAAAAAAACAGGTAAAACATTCAGATATGATCAGAATATTTAAAAAGATGGGCATATAAACAGCAAAAATGGCAAATGTTTGTCAAAATCAGACAACTGGCTTCTCTCTTTAAACTTTAACCTGTTTAGCACCAAGCAAAATGCTTTTTCCCTTTAAAGCTTGTAAAAACGCTTTATGATGAAATGAAGGATACAACTGCTTTTATAGAACATACATTCAATGGAATCTGTTTGGTAAGCCCACCATCACACAAATGCTAGACTGGCACCCTAAAATCTAGAGTGTTTTACCTAACAGAACAGACTTGCTTCCTAAGTCTGATACCTAACATCAGAGGCATCTTTTGTAAAATTTTCATCCACAATTGCATCCTCTGCTTCAGTTTCATTACCTTAATAAAGCCAAATCCATACATTTCTCATGAAAAAGATACAGTTAACAAGGGCCTAAAGTATCATGTTCAATCCAACAGAAGATGGTGTGAGATTAAATTTATTCTCAACCACTGGTCACCGACCATTGTAATTAATTTGTTAGTGGATGAACTGTATAAAGGAACTAGTTTGGTAAAACCCCAGTTTATCAACTATTATTTCAAACAAGCATTCATGCCTTTGTGAATAGTAAACAAGAAGGCAATTTAAATGACACTGTATGTAATTATTTGGGGAATACCTGTCCAAGTCTCATTTTAGGTGTTCAAGACTATGAAGTAAAATAAATACTGCATGTAGTGCCATCATTCTCATTTTGGCAAAAGCCAGACTAAAACATGACCGTTCTGAATACAGGGCCAGGATTTTTACATATCTTGGCAGATGCTTCCTTATGACTTATAAATGACTGCTCCTAACCAGTCCAGACTGGTTTCTGCTTTCATGAAAACTGACCTTTTTCATGCATGCTTGTCCTTTCGCTTTCCTCATCTGCACTCCGTAATGCACATGTTCTACCTACTGTCTTTTTTTCAGTCATCCTTCTCCATTCTCTCCATCCCCCCCATCATCCTTTTCTCTGCTTGTTCTTTTATCCTCCCTCATTGTATGTTATGCTGCTCTGCTCAGTATTGAAGTCTGCAATCTACCTAAATGTATCAGAGTTGATGAAAGAAGCCTGATGGCACATGAAGTGCATGAGCCGTGTTCATGCAGTAGCTCCTTACCCAATCGTAAAACTGCTGACTACAGCTTTAAAAATAAAACTTAAAGGTTTTTTGGTCATTCTACAGGCAAGGTTCTTTGAGTAGATGTGATATCTTTTATTAGACCAACTGAGTAGTTGGAAAAAAATTTCTTGGCAAGCTTTCAAGCATGGGGAGTCTCTGCTGTTCAGAGACTCCAAGAAATAAAAGCAGCTAAAAGTGTGGGAGGATGTCAGTGAAAATGTAAGAAAGTCAAGGAAATGGTTTGCACATGCAATTTCTTCAAAATCTGCATTTACCTCACACACTTAAAATTAGAACCATACTAAGCGTATTTTGCAGGTGTCATCTGAAATCAGCATTTATGTAACACATTGTAAATCCATCAAAAATACCAAACTAGCAAAGCAGACTAACATGTACAAACTAGTATTTAAAGTTTTGAAGTAAGAAAACTGACTGCTGGGCATATAGCTTAAGTTACATGACACTTAAATTCATATGCCCACAAAACCAAATATTTCATTCAAGCCTCATTAACAACTCTGTCTTTACCTCTCTCTCCAGTAACTTCAGAATTACTGAAGCTGTGGGATGTCTTCCCGAAAAAATGTTAAAAGGAACAAGTATAAAAATAAGTTTTGCTAACCAAAATGCTATGCATACTGTCTTTACATTTTTTCTCCTTTCAGTGTCTTTTTTCCTCTATTCCTTCCTCTTTAATCTATTCTTCCCCATCAGTCACTCTCTTATTAATTCTTCTTTTACAATCTAGAGAAACCTCTGTGCTTCTCATTTACTTCCTAATAACTTTCCATGTTTCCTCACCTCAATGGTCACCCTTTCCTCTTTATTCTCTATACCACCAATAAGAGTTCCCCTCCGGTATGTGAAAGAGGTGGTGAGAGAGTATACAGCTTTACTATAGTAAAGAGCAAGGAACTTTGTTGACAGGTAACAACTACAACTACATTTTTAAAAAATTAAAAAAGACACCTTGAAAATTATCAAGAAATAGTTGGGACGCCCAACAGGAACTGCTACATCGTGATAAGATTAATAACTGGAGCCAAGTTTCCATTCCCCAGGCTTGTGCAAGGATGAATGTTTTAAATTTTGGCAAGTCCCAATAACTAAGGTTCAAAATACTATAAAATATCAGCAGTTATCAAGCAAAATTACTGAATACACAATATCTGAGCAGGCAGAGATGCATCCATAACACAGAAGTTCTCCCTACAGAGGACTGTTATACCAGGAACATATTTTAAAGATAAAGAGACAAGAAATTCTATTTTTCCAACTTCAGAGTCTTTAAAAAGTCACCACAGAAAGTTTTAAAAAGTGTTAAAAAGTAAATTGCTGTTGTGTATCAGCTATACTTAATGTTGGCTTTTAAGAGAGTCTCAAATCTGAAATTACCTGGGATGATGGAGGTTTAAAACTAACTTTGTCTCTAAGCAAAAAACCCCCCCAAAATCACAGCAATCTTCTACAGTTTATATTTCATGCAGCAGCAACGCATGTATTAACACCGGGTAAGCTATCTTCACAAAGAAAGTGCTAGGAAATCAAACAAAAAATTAGCTGCAAAAAGTTAAAGTAAATCATCTTCTGTCCACATGCAATTCTAACTACCCATGATCAAAAACACATCAGTTCACCAAAGTGACTACATTTTTCTGGAGTTTTTCTAGCTCCTACCTAAACTTTTCACCTTGTCAACAGCAAGTTCTTTAACAGTGTTACTATATGTGTTACCCCAATAGGAAAAAATGAAGAATTGCAAAGTATAATAAATGTCTTTCTTAATTCAAAATAAGAAAAATAATTAGTGCCAGTATTGATTTATTTTTCATTTAAATTACTTACTAGGTAGATTTTTCGTGTTCATCTTCATAATAGGTTTTGTCAGTTTGGGTTTCTTGATAAATGTCCCACCAGGTTTGTTATATGGCTGTGGAATCATTTTCCTCTTTATTCCTCTTGCAGCAAATGCTACAGAACTGGGTTTATTATGATAGTCAACAACAATTCCGGGTCTATGCATGCCTCCAAAGTCTCCCATAGGCTGGAAACGTGTGAAATCAAGAAAAGGTATTGGTATACAAAATCAACAGAAACAAAACAATATTACTAAATGCCAAAGCCTAAAACAATTTGTAAATGAGTAAAATGTGCATTCTGGAGTAAAAGGCAGATAACTAAAGCTTCTAGTTTACACGTGTTAACAAAATTACTCTGGTAATACTTGGTGGTGTGTGTGGGGGGGCTGGGGGTGGCCAAGTACATATGAAGTGGGTTTCTGCTTATTCACAATCCTTAGTCCAGATGAGAATCATGTTTATCAGAGTTTATCTCAATACAACATCCCGGTTCCTTCTCTTCAGATTCTCTACTTGCTAGTTCTGTTTTTCTGGGGGAAAAAAGCCAGCTGAGTTTTTCTACAACTCAAACAAAAGCTTGTAAAGAATCCTCCTTTGCTGGCTTGAGGCAGGAAAGATACAGATGAGTCTGAAGATTTTCCTGTGTAGTGAAGGTAAACTGAAAATCTAGGTAGGATGCTGACTAGTAAGACATGTTTTTAAAGCACAGCTAGAGGAAGTTTTTCTATGCAGAACATGGACTTGTGACCAATCTCCTTTGTTTACTTCATCCTGACAAAAGCATCTGTGGCACTGAACTAAAAGAATTTAGGATTTTTTTTTAATGTCCATAGTTGGAGCAGAATAATTAAAAAAATAAAGAGCAAAAAGTGGCAGAAATTGGATTCAAGAACTGTATTGGAACACAATTTCCTTCCTGTCTCTAAAATACTGTATAATAGTACACATGTCTAAAGACATGCATTTATAGATATAACCTCCCTGGAGCCAACAGGTACTGGAGTAATCTGAAGAGAGAGAACCAAAGGAGCTACGAAAAGCATAGAATTGATTTCCTATTTGTTCATCTACTTCATTAACAGAGAGGGAAGGAGAGATAACCCATCTGACTGTGTGTACACACCAGGTAAGCAGAAATACTTGTGTTAACGTGAAAACAAAACCAATTTTTCTATTCAAGATAAAAATACTGTGTGGGTGTGAGCACATACTCATTTCTAATCATACAAGGCTGGAATACAGTACAACTATTGGGTAGACAAGCTTATTTTTTAAAAAGCCCTGAAGATTCATGCATAAAACCAAGTAAAATTTAGTTTATTTATCAATGTAGTGTTATTAAACTATCTAAGATGTATTCATATTACACAAACATAAATATGATATGAAATATGCACTTGAACAAATAGTGTTTCCAAGTGCTTAACAGGTTTTAATAAGCAGTATTTCCATCATCTATTAAAGGTGCAATGCATTTTAAAATGGTAAGTTTAGTTTTATATAACCCTTTATTTATGAAACAGAAACTGAAAGCATTATTTTTTAAGGAAAATCAATCAGCTAAAAGTACTCCATTAAAATTCTGAACAGAACTTTCATCTCTAAAAAAGTTCTAAAAGGAACATATTTGAGCTTAAAAACCTAACACTTTCAGTTCATCAACCAAGGGATAAGAAGATTAGAAGATCTGCTAATTACAGCTACATGTTAGCCCATAGCTATGTGCAGATTTTTTGAGCTAACTTTGGCTATACAATTAAAATTATTTAAAGCTGCAAAATAAAATTTTACAAACGAACAAACAAAAAAAGAAATAAGGAAAACCACACACACAATTAAGTATTTAGAAGACCTAATAAAAATTACCCTTATCTACACTTTAAAGAAAACAAGCTACATAAAGTTATAATACAGAATTACTTCCTACAGAAACATCGTATGCTTATGAATTTTAAAAAGTGGTAAGTTACATCTAAGGCACAAAAATACTCAACAGCTGAACTATTTTATTAAAAATCAAAAAATGGGATTATAAAACTTAGTTAAAGGGACATCCTCAACTTAAAATCACTCCTCTGGATTCTTCTCTTATGTGTAACACCTAACACTAAACAAACTGAAAAACATAAAAATCTTTTTCTTAACTTTTCAGCTTTAGTACTTTCTGTATTGTCAGTTTCACTGTTTCCTGTTTAAAAGGCTCATATATGTGTTTATATATGTATATACACATGTATGCATGAACACCATTAAAACAGGCAAATGTGCAAGTAAAACACTGACATAGGTGGTAAGAGCAGGTATAGTATCCAAAACTAATTTTAAGCTGATTTAATGCTGATTATGTCCCTTTAACCATGCTTTAAAATTTAAGGAAAGCCTCTATAGAGCTGTTTGCCACCTACCTTTGGTATTTCCTTCCCCCCAGATACAAGATGGAGTAAAAGCTAAGTTAAAAAGAAGACTTCATGTTTGGTAACATGTGTATTTAATAAAGATTTAGCTAAAATGTCACCTATCCACATTAGTGGAAAGAATTGCTCTATGGTATTCATAGCCTCAGTTTTATTTTTATTTATACATTGCACCTTTAACCTACTGAAAAGCTCAAAAGGGTTCCAATTAACCTTTTATAATTATTTAAGAATTTTCCCACCTGCAAAGATGCTAGCGTTCACAAGGAAAAATGCAATTCCTTTTAACCCCTTTTAGACCAAACCTATTACTTTTATCTTCACCTTTCAAACAAAAGGAGAGATTTTGTAACACAACCCCATCAGCTAATCTTGTATTGCTCTTTACTTTCAAGAACAGAGGGACTGGGTACTACTTAAAGTCAACTTCAAAGGGATTAACAGGATTATCAACTGTGTTAGTATGTTTGGTCAAAAGTACACTGTGACAAACAGAGTACTCATTTTGAAGCTGTGGTCTTGAAAGGGTTTAAAAGAGTGACTAGTGAAAAGAATCTGAAAAGATTCTGTACTTACTCCTCGGCCTCGGCCTCTGCCTGTTGATGGTCCTCCAAAAGCATCATAGTTTCTGCTTCCAAATCCACTTTCAGGATAAGCAGGCGTTCCTCTCCCCCGAGAGCCTACAGGTGCAGGCTTCATATGGGGTGAAGAAAAACTGCTGTAGGAAGAGTAACTCTCTCTTCCTCTGTCCTCCATAAACCCAGGCCTCAATTTTGAACGTGAGTAAGGTGCTTCCCAGCTAGACCCGCCCTGGTTTCTACCTCCGAAAGAGTCAAGGCTATTCCGGTAGGAGCTGTCAAATCGACCACCATAACTACCTCCGAAGCGGCTTTGTTCGGGTTCATTATAACCATAGCCAGATCTGTATAGATCTCGCCCACCCAGAGAAGACCCGGAGTCGTAAGACTCATAAGGTCCAAACCTGGAAGAGTTGCACAGTGAGGAAAAAAAAAAAAGTAAGCTTACCAGTGTTATACATTTCAAAAGACAAGTTATCAGTTGACATTTATCAACTAAAATTAATTTATACTATATTGGTTTGTACAGTTGTGTTATTGTTTATCTTGATTAGGGCTGGGCAATTCAACTTGTGACCAGATAGAAAGCTATCTGTGTCACTTTCTGTAAAAAAGAATTCTAAAGTTCAATAGGCCTGAACTTTGTTAAATTAAATTTCTCAGCATCATTTACTAAATGTTATTTGAGCCCAGCCCTAGTCTCAGGAAAATAATCACCTGCAGATGTTTACAGGCTAGTCAGACTATTCCTTCATCAAGGTCATACCTAACATTTTAACAGTTGAAAAGCATTTAAAAGGTGGTTTAGTTTTTCAATGGGAAAACAGGACAAAATATATTTAGTCTTTATGAAGAGGTGATTCTTATGCACCCCATGATTAACATGCACCCATCCTTTGCTTGCAGACATTAAGTCTGGCAACTTCAGGATTTGAAAAAGCTGTACAAAGTACACACTGCACATGGACATAGTCCATGGGAAACTCAAGGTAGAGTGATAAGTAACAACTTTAGTTATTTACTAGGGGCCTGTTTTGCTTCCGGAGTTTTTGAAAGGAAGAAAAGGGCAGGGAAAAGGACTCATTGACATCCATAACTATACTAGGAAGGGAAGCTCATTAGTCTCCCCCACAAGATTAAAACAGGACAGTTCAGCAGAAATTGGGAAAGTCAGCCCTTTTACTAACAGAATACAAACTAATAAAACAGACTCAAATTACTACCCTTGTCTAAGATAACAAGAATTCCTTCATTGTAAAGGAAGTTAGCCTCAGAAGACCCCAAACTACACAGAAAATGAAACTATATACAGAAACAATTCATGCACAATAGTAATGAGGCAAGACACATTTTAATGTTCAAGGAACTGGTCAACCTTAATCATATACAGATTACTAAATGGTAGGTACATCTCATTCCTGGGCCTGTATGCACATTTTAATTGTGCAAAATATTTATCAACCATCTCTTTAAAAAACTTCAACATTTTCTCTAGCCTCTTCTGCCCTTGCCCAGTGGCACTGCAATGGCTACATACAGTTATTGTACAGTAGTTCTGCTATGGCCAGACAAGGATGAAAGTATGCAAAAGAGGACAAAACTAGAAGAAAATTTAAACTGCTGGATGTTATTTTCTCTCATAAAGAAACACTCCTCTGAGAAGAAAGCTAATTTGTTTAATGTACTAAAACCTGAACTTATTTGCAAAACCACCATACCAGAAATATTATTTTTGGACCAACTTTCCTGAATATCCCAGAACATACACATAATTTGGGTGCAATTAGTACCTGCCAATAAAATAATCTGGACATGACTGTAAATAACAATATCAGTGAGTATTCTTGCAATTTATAATTAGAATTAAAGAACACGTACCCTAAATGTTCCTTGAAAATGGAATGTTGATAGATTCAGTCTTAAGCACTGAACCAATTAAAGCCATTTTAGTTAGGGACTGCAATGTCAGAAATATTAAATTATGCCAATGTAAATTTACTGATCAGTTACACACTAGTAAAGTTACTAGATACAAAGAAATCCTCATACAGTTTGATTCAAAGAAGCAGGTTATCATACAACTGCCAGAATTATCCACAAAAAATAGTAATTGTTTGGATAATTGAGCTGTTACAACATAACGTTTTCCAGTTTTTCTTACACAAAACTTACAGAAAGAAAGCCCATATAATCACACAACATGCCTAAGGAACACTTAAGTTGAAAAAAAATAATATTGATTTATTAAATTATTGAGACAACTGAATCATTATTTTACCTGTTGCCGCCACCACCTCCTCCTCCACTGCCGCCACCTCCTCCATGACTATCCATCCCATATGACTGGTTTAAGTAAGAGTCCATGGGTCTTGGGCCACCATAGGCTCCATGTCCATAATCACGGTCCATGTCTAAAAAGAACCAAAAAAATTGGTGGTGGTGATTAAAACAACACCCCAGTCTTTCAATATTAGTCTTGCTGACAAAAGCATAAAAATATCCTGTGGCTGGTAGTTGAAGTTTGAGAAATTTGATCTTATAGTAAATTGCAATTCTTATAGCACTGAGAACGGTTAAATGTTGGAATGGCTTAGTATGGGAAATGGTGAACTTAGAATTGTTTGGTGTCTTCACCAAAGACCTACAAAACCCAGAGTGCTTGTACTAAAAACATTTTCTCTCTCATCTTTAAACCAGCTTTTTATCTCTTGCTTTCTTCTAGTTCTTCTCGTAACTGTCTTCCTTCTGCTGCTTCCTTCAGCAGCTTCTGCATCACTTTGTAGCTCTTAGCTCTTTCATTATTTTCCCCTGAGTTTCAGCCATCCTTCCTGAAGAATTCTCCCATCCTCTTCTTCACCATCATCCACCATTCTCTGGTGCTCTTAAAATATTTCTTCAGTGTTCTCTACCCCCTCATATTGTCTCATGAATGCTTGACATATCTCCTCATCTTGTAATGCACATTTAACTTCCACCCTCTCCTTCGCCTTATGGGGCTCTTACCAAGACTCAGCAGTCAGTGATCACTAAATGCTTCACATGTGGTTTCTTTCTTCCTTATCTCTACTTATTCTGATACAAAGTCAATTCTAGGTTGTTTCTTACCCCTGGGGTCAGTTCTAGTGAAAACTTTCTCCCCTGCCAACAGATCTCTTAGTGACTCTTCTTTAATTACACTGGTTAACTATTTGGGTGAACTGTTTAAAGTTCCATCTCCTCCTCCTCCTGTTCTGTCACCTGCTTTATTATGCAATTCAAGTCTCCCACTATTATCAGCAGTCTCCCTCCAACCGTATAAACTGCTAGCTTTCTAAGCAGAGCCTTCTTCCCCTCCCATACTGGTGCTACATATACACTGAAAACTTCTCATTCTGCTCCCCAGACTGATAGTCATTCATTGCAGTCTGCCACTGATGTTGTCTTCTATAAACCCAGGATTATAAAAGTTATAATCCCTCTCCTCCAGTATACCACTTTACTTGATTTAACATTGGTTCAGTCTGCCCCAATCTTTTCCTTGATATGACACTTCTGACATTAATTGAAGCTATAACCAATGCAATTCTGCTTGGGTAAAACGGAATGTGCCTGTCGCTTTAAGGATCATCTGTGCCAGTGCTTGTCATGGTCAACTCCTGCCCCCCTCCCCCCACGCTGCTCCTGCAAGCTGCCTAGCCGCTTTTGCAGCTGGGAAGGCTTCCATTTTCCCTCCTCTTCCTATCCCCTCCTGCTCTCTACTCTGGGCTGGAGCCCAGGGAAGTTAATGACAGGAAGCTGCTCTCCGGCTCTGACTCCAACTTGCCTCCTCTTTATCAGGTTTTTTTCCCCTGACTTTCTGTCCCTGCACTTTCTTCCTTTTGTTCTTTTCCTTCTCCTTGCTCCTTCTCCACTTCTGTTGTCTGCCAGGTTTCTTCCTTCTTCCCCTCCCTCACCTCCATGTCTTTTGATCCTCTCTGCTGTTCCCTCCTCCCCTTCCATTTTGTCTTGTTCTCTCTCATGCAGCCTTTATTACAGATTCTGCTTCCCTCCATCTCCATTTCTCCTCCCTATGGAGTCTCATCTACTATTTCTATTTTGGTCTCTCCCCCCTCTTCCTCACTGCCTCTTTCCAATTCTGGGGGTTCTTGGGGGGGGGGGGGGG